CAGTTTTTCTTTAAAAAAATCTCAAATCCAACTACAGAAATGAGTTTGAGATAATCTTATCAGATCCATGATCTTTTTACTGGATTCATTTAATTAAATCCTGGTTGAACAGGAAGGACAGTGGCCTACACGTAGTAAAATATTTGGGCACCTAAAGCAGAGCTGAGGCACAGAGGTTTTGCTGAAGTTAAAATCATGACTCTGTTTCATAGGTCCCAGACACTCTCCCAGATTGCTGTACTGTCTGTTTTAAGTGTATATGTGCTCATTTCTGGCTCAGGAGTGAGGCACTAGGCTTTTGGCATTTTTCTCAGTGACAGCCACAGTAACAAAATGTTACATATAGGTTGCCATTTGGCAGGAGAGCACATGCACATGGAAGAAACTGTAGCTATTTACACACTCAACTAGCCTCAAGACTTTGAATAAATTAACCAGACTCCTAAAATACTCTGTGGTATTTTCTGAGCTCTTAAAGACCAGGACCCTTAAAACTGGAATTTACTCTTTGTGGGGACTTCATTCCCATCTTCAGCTATGTGGGAAACTATTCTTCCAGGCTTGATGAACAATGAGTGTCTAAAGCTTTGCAATACAAATAACATTATGATTCCCCCTCTTAGGGGGAACGGAGCAGGGATGAATGGACTGCTCAGGACCATTGCTTATACCTGAGCCTGACAGGTACTGTGAACTGAACTTCTTTGGGTTTGGATTAATATCTGTCATGGTTTAGAAACGCTACTTCCAATTCACTGTTCCCTCCAAGACTCTCCAAAGCCACACACCCACTCCCCTTTGCCCTTCCTCCCTTCCCCTTCCCGATTCACTGGGATGGTATTGAGAATTGGAGGCACAAAAGGCAAAGATCATGGGTTAAGGTAAGAAAAATTTACTGGAAAAAGAAATAAGATAAGAAAATGAGCAGTAACAGCAACAATACTAATTACAGAGGTTATAAGAACAGAAATTACTCACATGGTGGGAAAAAAACACCAATAATAGAAAACACTGTGTTTTCTGGATTGGAAGGAATCCCTTCTCCCTGAGCAAGTGTCATTTTCCCCTGCCCCCAGCAATGACATGAGATGGTTCAGAATAACCTCAGTGCCCTAGCCATGCCCCCTCCCAGCTTCTGCAAAAAATTAACCCTGTCCTGGCCAGAACACGGACATTATGAAATAATTTTAGCTGCAGACTAACAATAGTAGTTTTCTTCTAACTCTTTTTTTTTTTTTTTTTGGGGGGGGGGGGGGAATGATGCCAATACTAAGAATAAAAGTACAAATTTCTCACTGTGCTTTCACACTGTTTTGCTTCTGACCCTTATGCTTTGATCCTCTACTTAATTCTTTTTCTTAGATCTGATGAGTAAATATCTGCCTTATCCATCCAGTCTCACAGCAGGCTTTTTCTCAACATGAGCCATAGTTGCCGCTGGGCGCCCCTCTACCCACCCTCCTCCCCCTTGGCCAGGGAGTGCAAATCCTGCCTCAGTAAAGCACCCTGCTGCCTCCACAAATGGCCAGTTGTTTTGAGTCATTAACCTCTAACATATCAGTTTCTCACAACGGATTTACACTATTTATTCTCCTGGTGGTTTAGGAAGGAGCTCCAATCCATGCAGACTGCATTCAGGCTCACCTGCTGGTGTTCATCCCTGTTGTCTGCACTGGCTTGCCATTGAACTGCCCTGTGGCTTGCCATGGCTCTGCCCTGTGGCTCCAGTATTGCCCTTGTCTGGTTTTCCTTTCTACCACCAAGCGGACATGGGACCAGAATGTTGCTTAGTTTTTTTGAGTTCTTTTAAGCCTTCTGATATTTATATTTTTGTAATGAACTTTCTTATGGATTTTATGTAAATAATTAATTGTTTTGGATTCTTTTCTGGAGGAGGAGAAATTTGATGGACTGTTGGTTTGTCCAGTGTCATTGGAGAGGTGGCACTTTCACCCTCCAATCCACTGTCACTTCTCGAATCTATAAATGTTAGAATCAGAATCAAAATTCCCTCTTTTTTACCTTGGAGAATCCAGTGTCCGCGTCTTTCTATTTCATGTCCTAAAATAACACCAGAGGGAAAGGAGGAAGGCAGGAAAGCCATGGGAGCAGACTCAGGCCTTGGGAGGGATCACGATCAGGGTAAAGTGAGCTCCCAGAGCTGGGAACCTTGAGGTGATTTTCATCTGATGAACTATACCTAGCCACACACTCCTGTATAGGTGGCTGACTTAATGGTTTTCCAGGCACACCAACATTCCTTCTGGGATTTTGTACATCCACCCTTGCTGTCACTGGCACAGTTACCATGTGTTATAGAGGAGGAATTACTTTTTCATCATCAGAGTCCAATTCCTAGGAACACCAAGCTGTAAAGATACTGGGTTCTCCCTTGGGTCAGATTAGTCCATGTGGGAGACACAAAGGGAAGGAAAAGAAAGTGGCCTCTTGCTTCCTCTGTTTCTGCCCACAAGCCATGGCAACAAGCATTCTAAATCTGAATTTTCTCTGTTTTTACTTTATGACCAAGAAAAGTTATGAGAGAGCAACCACAGGGGCAGCATTTGGGGCTGTTTTGGGGTTGGCCTACAGAGCACCAGACCAGATGGTCAAACCATGAGAAAATAACAGGTGTTGAAAGCTGAAGGGAGACTGTGTAAAATACTGACTCAGCCCTTTGCATATGTACCAGTCAGCTCCTGCAATGAAGAAAAAAGACCATAAAACAGATCCATTCCCTTAGCCAAGTGCAAATAGTACTGTTCTTCTGCTGGAAAGGTTATATTTTGACATAAGCATTACACAGTGTTTTTCTTGTCAGTTTGAGGCCACACACATAGAGTGTGGAATATGGAGTGGTTTAGTAACTCAATTAGACACTTGGACAGTTTGCATTTCCTCAGTAAAAAGGAAGTTTTGCTGTTTATCTATCTGAGCACCGATGACTGTTGCACATCACAGTCCACTGCACAGTAAGTGGAAGGTAGCTCTTGCTGCCAGCTTTAATTTGCTTGTTTTTCCCAGATTAAAGGGCAAAATCATTACACACTGGCTGACCAATTCATTTCACATGAGCAAAGATGCTGGTTAGGTACCTGGTTTCTAAATAAAAGTTTAATGATTTGACACACAGCAAGAAAAAAACAGGCTCTTTTAGGTTTTATCCTCAGACACACACGGAACAACTTTTCTTTCTTGCAATAGACGGTGAGCAGCACAGGTCTGTGGCTGCAGAGGGGAGCATGGCACTGAGTGCTGGCCTTTGCTAACCTCACCTGGGCAGGTCACAAAGCCATCATCCTCCCAGTAAGGCAGTACCTGTACTCCCGCATCACAGGGCACCACACAGCTGCATTCCCCTCTCCTCATGTCTTCCTGCTCAGAGACATAGGGACATCATTGAATGAATACAAAACTGAGTAAAATTCAGAGCTCTGGTTCTGCTTGTGGAGATAAAATTGAGATATTGCTTCAGGTAATTTCAAAGCAGTACAAAAACTATCATTAGTAAGTTTCATATATACTCTACTCACAACTTTCTCATGTAATAAAAGTCCTATGAGACATTTTTGGTTCTTATGCTTTAATTTTTTTACCCTACAATATCAAGATGGCACGATATTTTTTCTTACAATTTTGAAGGAAGATTTCTCTAGACAAAGAAAATATTTTTGGTGAATATTAAGGCTAATCAAAAAGGAAAGATACTGGGTCTTCATCAAAGGTCTTTTTATACCAAGACAGAAATTAGTCAAAAAAGTTAAATATGTAAATTATTAATGTTGTTGCTATAAAAGTTAACAAAACCAAGCCCCTCTATATTCTAAAGAAATTTGTTTTTATTTCTACTCACCCTCCTGGCTCTTGAGACTACCTTTAGAATCTTTTCTTCTTTCCTTTCTCTGGAAAAAAATATATTCCCATATTTCCATCATAAAACTCAGATTAAATAAAAGCCTTTCAGTATTATTAAAAAGCAAAAATAGCCTGAGATGATCTTTCCGTCTCTTTTTTAAAGCCATCTTTATGAATTGAGATAAAAATTGCTTACCCTGTGAAATGCTGTGTCTTTCCAGTTGGACAGTTCTCTCTTCCATCTCTCAAGTTTTCCTCTGAAATGTGGAAAGGGAGGTCAGAGAAGCAGAAACTTTCAAGTCACACCACAGCTGAGGCTCTTCATCCATGAACATGTTTTAAAACAAAAACTTCGCTCTAGTGTTTGTCAAGAAGCATAGTATCATACATAGTAATCACTAACTGTGGTATATAATCTATCACACTGTTGTAACATATGATGTCAAATTGCAGTGCCATCTGCTCGTGGCGTGTGGTGGGAGCACGGGGAGCTCCCTCGGAGCTGCTTTCCTCTCCCCGACCCGGCACCCTCTTCCTCTCCTGCCCTCAGCCCGGAGGGAGCTCCCTCGGAGCTGCTTTCCTCTCCCCGACCCGGCACCCTCTTCCTCTCCGGCCTTCACCCCGCCGTGCCCGCTCCTGCCCCATCCCGCTGCTCCCCGCTTGCTTCCTTGCAGGAGCACCGGCACTCCACGTCCCTGCAGCCCCTGATTTTTGGCCGGGCCACTTTGAGGGCTGTATTGTATTCAAGCATCATCTTATTATCAAGCCCTTTTGCAGAGCGCAGCTGCTGGCGGTCCCGCAGCGCAGTGTGGAAGCACAGAGCCGCCCCGCCACCCCCCTGCACTGCCGGGACTTCCACCTTCCGAACTGGCTCTCGTGGTTTTCCCGAGAAGTATCTTCTAGAAGTGACTGTGCTGAAGCGGGAGGCAGCCAAAACGACGGTGCAAACGCGGCCTGACAGACCGCCAGACCCAAGTTTCCTTCACGGAGACAAAGCAAGTGTCGCCAGCGCACGCCCTAAGGATGCAGCAGGGTGCGTGCCCCGCACGGCGCGGGGAGCAGCAGCCGCGGCCGCCTCTGCTCCTGCCCTTGCTGGGGCGGGTTCCCGGGGCCGGGCGGGGCGGGCTCGGCCCCCGCAGGGACCCCGGGCCCGGCCCCGGGCAGGCTGTGCGGGCCTGCGGCGGCTGAGGCGGGCGGATGGCGGCGGAGCGGGGAGCGGGGCTGCGCATCTTCCGCGATGTGAGTACGCGGCACGGAGCCCATCCTTCGCACAGGGCACCTGCGAGTGTCTGGGGAGAGGGCACCTGGTCTGTTATGTGGGGTTTTATTATTTTTTTCTTCTTTTTCTTTTTCTTTTTCTTTTTCTTTTTCTTGAGCTGTTATCTTCTCCCTCGGTGGACAGGGGTGAAGCCCAGTGGGACTGTGAATCTTCCCCCTTTCTCTTTCCCTTTCCCTTATCTTTTCCCCTTCCCCTTCTCCTTTCCCCTTCCCCTTTTGCTTCTAATGGCTGCATGTGTGAGGAGAGCAGGTTAGTGTTTGGAGGTGGCTAGGAGAGGTTCTGTCACCTTTTTAAATAAGTGGAAACAGTCTAGACAGTCACCTTTCTAAATAAGTTGCTTCAGATTTTATTGCTTTATTGGGGTGGGGGGAGTGGGGCACTTTTCACTAGAGTTTCTCACCCTATAAAAGTTGGTTCTTTTCACTAACCATGCAGGTTCTTCCCATCCCTTTAGACCCTGATGAATTTGAGGTGCCCAAGGTCAATGTGCAGAGAAGCCCCTCAGCCCTTTGAGGGTGAGCCCAGGGTGGTGCCCTGATCAGCATCTGGCCACACAACCCCTGAAAGGTGCTGTGCTAGACTGTCAACAAAGGCTCAGCATCTTGCAAGGTGCAGCAGTAAAGTTTTTTTGTCTGAATTTGCGCAGCACAGAGCATTTCTTTGTTCCAAGGCAAACCCTGGTAAAAGGCAAACTCCCACCCAAAGATCCTAAAAGTATCCCCTGACCTTGGTGAGACCTAAAAATCTTGAGACCAACTGTACCACCAACTCTGATCCACTTCAGACCAGCCCTTGTATTGGTGTTATTCCACAATATCAGCTGAAATGGCATAGCCTGAATTAAAGGACTCTTTATCTAGATGTTTTCTCTAATATGCCCACTTCAACTTCCCTAACCTTTCTCCAAATTATTTCAAGCAAACCTCATCTGTTAATCTCCTGATTTCTCTAGCATCCACAGAAAATTGTTTAAATAAGACTTTTTACTGACTTTTCAATGCAATTCCATTTTCATTTTAATTCAAGTATATATTGAAAATGCAGGGGGTTTTGGTGTTTTGGGGGTTTTTTGGAGTTTGTTTTTGTGGTGGTTTTTTTTTGGGTTTTTTTTGATTTTTTTTGTTGTTTTTGTTTTTTGGTTTTTTTTTTTTTTTTTTTTTGTTTGTTTGTTTGTTTGTTCGGTTTTTTTTTTTTTTGTCTCAGAGACACCACTGGTAAAAGAAATGGGAGAATTACAGTCATACATCACAAAAACAGAAGAGAAATCTAAGTTGCCAGGAAAGAGTTAAAAAGCATTAAATGCAGCAAACTCCCCAATTAATTTAACTCAGCACACTGGGTTAGGAAATTGCACATCATCAGATTATCTGATAAACAAAACTTTTGATTTCACTAAAGTAGAAAAGATAATTCAAAATAAAATTATTTGTTTAATTTTCAGCATTTTCTTAAACCAGTGTCACGTTCATATTTATAGGAAAGCAGATACCTTTCACAAACCCACAAATAGGAGGAGACTGTTTCTGTGATTTTCTTCTTATATCTGGAGGAAAACATTAAATCCAAACCATGTCTGCTTCAAAGCAGGGACTGGACCCTGGGGGCCTTTCCTGCTGTGAGAGTACATTCATGTCACAGATATTTTAGGTATTTGGGAGTGTGTAGGTGTGTGATTACTCCTCAGTGAAGTACTCCCACCTATATGAACACATTTAAATTAGAGCAGGCAGCAGGAGGTTTGTTGTAAGGCTGCACAGAAAGGGCAGGCACTGAGGTCCTGATCCCACTGGGGAATCGAGTTAAAGAATCATAAAATGACATGGTTGGAAAGGATCTTAAAAGTCATCCAGTTCTAAACCCCTGCCATTGACAGGGACTCTGCCGCTTTACTTCCCCGGCTAGCTGATGTTGGGAGTGAGGGGCGGCAGTTTTCCCCCTGGAGCTCCTTGAATCCCAGTTGTCAGTTGTTTCGGCGCAGAATAAAACACAGGCAGCGCACAGGGGACCCAGGGAAACTTTATTTGATGGTGTTTCTTCCCCTCTTTCTTCCTGGGCCCCAGCTAGGGGGCCGACAAAGACTTATATCTCAGGGGAAAGTCAGGGGCAGACCCAACTTCCAACAAATCAGGAGAGTTGGGAGTAAAAACCCAGGCGGGGGATAACAGGAGCGAACCAATAAACTTCCAAGGAAGAAAAACAGTTTTAGGAAATGGGTAAAATTTGGAGAAATAGAAACTAGAAACTGGTTGACGACATTTCTGGGAAAAGGGTGGAGACAAAAGGAAAAACCAGCACCAGGAAAAGCACTAAATCACAAATCAAACCATAGACCCACTGATAAAACAAAAAGCACGATACAACAAGGGACACCTTCCACTAGACCAGGTTGCTCAGAGCTTCATCCAGCCTGGCCTTGAACTCTGCCATCCACAACCTCCCCGGGCCACCCGTACCAGTGCCTCAGCACCCATACAGTAAAGACTTTTTTCCTAAGATCCAATCTAAATCTATTGTCTTTCAGTTTGAAATCATTCCCCATTGTCCTGTCCTGTCACTTTCAGTTTGAAATCATTCCCCATTGTCCTGTCACTAAATGTTCCTATAAATAATCTCTCTCCAGAGAGAGAGACCTAATGAGAGTGATATATGATTGCTAAAACAACCTCTTCCATGGTCTTCTGTCAAACTCCCTCTCAGGTGTCTAAAGGATTTTAATACTTCCTTAAGGTTGGGGGCGGGGGGGTTAATTAATTAAAACAAATTAATATAAATTTTTAATAATAATTATAAAAATATTAAATACATAAAATAATTGATTTTAAATCAATTTTTAAAATTACTTAAGCAGAAACTTTTGCCACTCTTGACCCATGGTTATGGGACATTTCTATTTGATTGAAACTCCACTACTACATCCCTTCAAAAGTCCAATCCTTATACTGAAAATTGAATGTATTGTTTATTTGGTTAAATAGGGAGAGAAAATGGCATCTTACTAAGTATATTTCATATTTTATGTGCTGTGAATTTGGTCCAATGCAAAGTTCACTGTCTGTGAAGTCCTGGATGTGGGTCACAACTCTGTTGGTTTCCCTGCCAACCCCACTCTACACAAAACAATCCTGAAGGTGCTCCAAGAGAGCTTGGCACTTGGATCCATTTTGTCTGGTTTCACTTCTAGAAGCAGAACAGTCATGGCATGTGCTGGAGAAACTGTTTAAATGCTACTAACATTTAAAAAAAACAGAGAATGTTTCCACTGCTGTCAGCTCTCAAAAATATATGTGCCCATTTTGAAACACTTCACTGATATTTACTGCAGCAATAGAAACTACATTTGGAAGGTTTGCTTTTTTGCCTTGCCTACACTTGTGGCAGCATTTCCTGGATGACTCCCCATTGCAGTGACAGAGTCTGATCCCTTTGTGCCACCCAGCTCCTCTCCTGACTTACCCCTTTGTTTCCTCCACCCACACAACCGTGAGCCTTTCTCACCATCTCAGATGCTCAGCACATTTTCCCAGCCATCATTCTTCTCTGCTTCTTTAAGGCACTTCTCTCAAACCTGAATCCAGTATCATGGTAACCACACAGTACCAGGTTTTGTGTCTGAACATCATCCTTGTAATCCATAAACAAACCAGAAAAGAAAGCTGGTTCTTGTTATGGTCTTGGTTTTCAGTGCACACAGCAAGGGAGGAGTTAAAAAAGCGGTATTCTGAGGGAAGGATGAAGACACATTAAGAATTTTAAAATTTTATGCAGCTTTGTGAAAATGTGATGTAGAGTCCAAACTATAAATATGTAAGATACATTGTTATTCACCTAAGAACCTAACAGTATTCTAAGAAGTACATTGTTATTAACCCATACAAAAGAAAAAATTGACTCTGTTATTTCTGTCTCTCTTTTTGTTTAGATATTAAGAAGAGCAGACAAGAATGGTAAGATTTCTTGCATGTCTTTCCCCCTTCCTTTGGAAAATAGAATCCATCGTTAATTCAGGATTTTAAGTCACGTTTTAAACATCCTAACAGAAAAACCAGACATCCTTCATGTCATTTTATGTTTCCTGCAGATTCAATGCCATGTGTTATGTTGTGATCTGATCTTCCCTTCTTTAAGGACAGATCTTATGCTTTCACAATTTGACATTTGTGTTTGATTTGCACTTTGGGTACATGCGGGTGTTTTCTAGCGACACTGACTCAAGAAGGTTTGAAAGACTTGTTAGTAACTCCATCTTATTTTTTTAAAAACACCACAGGCTACAACCAGAAATCAACTTGGTTTTGTATTTGTTCAGTGTGTCAGTAGGAAAAATAAACCCTTGAATCCAACTCAGATATTTATAGTACAGCAGTCATAAGGTTTTTATTAACAAGAGAAGCATTGAACAGAGTCGAGCCTATGGATCAGACAGGTTTAACACTGACAAGTAATTCCCAGTCCAGTCAATCCTCAGAAAACAGATATTGTGTGCATTTAATAAAGAGAAGGCAAATGTATACCATTGAGAAAATCAGTGATAACTTACAAGGAAGAACTCTTGGACAGCAAGTGGCTACTGTACAGTTTGGCGGTATAACTAAGCATGTTGAATAACTGTTAACTCTTGCTGAGGGAGAAATCTCACTTTCACAGCCCACTTCTGTTTGCTATTCCTGCCCCAGCTCACGTGCAGCAACTGGCACTTCCCACAAGACCATGGTAGCCTCCTTCAGAGAGCTCAGGAGCCACAGAATCCATCACCGTGAGAGTTTTTGGGTAGTAATCTCTTTGTTATCTCCCTCAGTCAGCTTGCCAGTGGCTTGCATGGGCAGTGGAGGTGCAAGTTGAATTCCAAGGTGAGGGCTGGCCTGGGGAGGAGGAGGACTCCCTGCACCTGCAGTGGTGCATCTCTAGCTTAGTTACCTGCCAACCACAGCAAAGCTCTGCTGCCATCCCCCTCAGACCTGCTCGTGGTGTTTGGAATAATGTGTGTGCGTCTGCCCTGAAGATTGATGAGGGTCAGAGCACATGGTACAGAGCAGAACTCACCACCCCACCTGGAGTCTAAAAGAGACCCTAAAGCTTTGTGTCCCTGCCCTGGACTTTGGGCTGTCCCAGCCCTGGTGGATCCGCAGCACTCTGGTGGTTGGGAGCGCTTCAGTCCTCATCTGGGTTTCCCCACAGCTCATTACTAGTACATTGCTCTAAAAACAGGGGAACAGCTCCCAATATTGGGGACAAACCTGCTTGTTCCAGAACAATACAAAACCATATCAGCCCCAGAGTCTTTGGTCACTGATATTCCTACCTGTATAGGTTTCTTTATAACATATAATTGGCAGAAAAGTGGCTAAGTTCAGTCACTTCAGTTCTATTAATTTAAGTCCATGAACTTGAAATTATTTCAGCTTTTAGACCTTAATTGTGTTTGCTCAACCATCAATTGCTCGTGGGACTTCCACTTTACTAATCTAGCAATGCACAGGCTTGTGCCACATTGATAGCGAGATTTGTTTCAAGGCTGTGAAGTTAAGTACATTTTCAGAAAGGTTATTGGCTATGTGACCACTCACTGAAAATGTTTACACTGTTGTCACCATAAATTATTAGTTTTCATTAATTACCAGTCTACTTACACTTTCAGTGTCACCTTTCTCTGCTACAGGAAGTCAACTATTGGCTTTCAGTAACAAATACTACTATACTGTCAATGACACAGCCCTCTTAAATTCTCCCATATACTTTTAATAGAACCTCCTCTGCTGTATTCATTCACTTTGTGAGATTAAAATACCTTCAGAGAAAACATCATCAAAAGATTTAATAGATTCTTGTTAGACAGCAAGGAAAAAGAAAATATCAAAAGGATGGAGCTGATAAATAAGAGTATTGTATAAGTATTTTTACTATGAATTCGTGGACTGTGGGACTTCAGGTAAGCCTTCCACAGCAAGGAAAGACAAATATTCTTGCAAAGGCAGTATAAAATGAAAGATCAAAAGAGCCAAGACATTCCACTGAACTGCTGGTACTCAAAAATGCTACAATAATTTATGGCATCTGTGTTAAGAAAGTCCTTTAGCAAACAGCCATGTGAATGAAGTCATACAAAATTCTTTCTTTGCCAGCCCACATACATATATCATTCTGTTACTGTCCTGTTTCTGGGAATATCAGCTATGCAGAGATTCCATGAGAGGATCAGCATCATAAACTCTATCTGTAGTTCTTATTTCATGACTGTGCAGCTCTGCTTTTTGTGGAGCAGATCCATACATCTCCCATAAATGAAAAGGTCATATGATTTTTTTAAAGGGAGAACAAGGCACAGGGAAGGATTTTAAACAACTATATGGTTCATAATATTGACACAAGCAACAGAAATTCCTGAGGGAGAAAAAACCAATTTCATAAAGGTGAGATGCTGCACATTGACCTTTTTGGAAAGGAAAAGTTTCAGGTCTGTATGTCAAAATGAAATTTTGGTCAGGTTTACTTTATACAACTCCACATGCTCAAAGGAAAGCGTGTGGATTTCACACAGAACTAATTTGGAAAAAAAAATCCAGCTAAAAGGAAAAAACTTTGTTTGTTTAATTTCTTTTGCTATTTAAAACAAAATCAAATTCATTAAATTCCTCACGAAAAGTAAAATCTTGTCCCTAGCTTGCAAGGGAGAGAGTCAAGAAAAAATGGGAAACTGGAACTGCCAAATGCAATCTTTTCTGACCCCAAAAAAATTTCACTTCCTTCATCTCACAGGAAACAGTGGTTGCCTCACACATGTGTGAATGCAGCAGCTGCATGTGCTTGTCTGCATGAGGTGTCTCTCTTATCCCCTGATATGCCAGGAGGGACGTGGGGCACCCCATTAGCCTTGCAGTGACCTGCAGTCAAGTGAAATGGTATCAGTTGTTGGTGAATGTCACCCAGGGGCCTCTTCTGACCATGCAGCTGTGACATGTGCCCAATTAGAATTGCCTCCTGCCAGCATTCGAATGGAATTTCAAACACAGACTGCATTCCAGAAGTCCAATCACAAATAGTCTGACTGTCAAATAGATGGGAAAAAAAAAAAAAAAAAAGTAATAATCTACTGAGAATGCAGCCCTTGATCTTGCAAGAGTAACAAGGGGAAGGTGTCTTGACACTGATGGTTTAACACAGACCAAAGGCAAGGAGCACCACAAAATAACTGGAGAAAAGTGCCCTGCCTTTGCTGGCATCTGGTGGGAGTCATTTCTCTTCCCATATCTCTGGGGAAGAGGACCACTGCCTTTCCCTTTTACCAGAGTCTGTCTATCATCTGCAGCTCTGGATCTCCTCTGCTGCTCTGGAAACATGGCATGCTCTGGTGTTTGAGACTCCCCTTGGCACTTTTCAGTGTCCATCCAGTCAAACCTGGAGGGGGTGACTCCTAGCCCTGTCCCCCAGGAGAAGTAACTCTCAGCTGTCTCTCTTCTCCACAAAATTCAAATTGGTACTTGATTATGGCCTTGCTCCAAACTTAACAGCTCCTGCCCCCAAGCTCTTGGATGCCTCTAAGCCCTAAGGAGGGCAACTCTAATATGACAGGTTTGGAAAAGATGGTTTGTATATAGATGCTTTCATTGATTTGCAGATACAAGTCAGCTGTTAAGAAAAAGCACTAAGTAAAACTATACCTCAACCATTCTTAAAGCTCCTAAGAGGAAGATATTTGAAAACATCATTTGCAATATCTGCTATAGAAGCAGACGTTTTAGTAAAAACCCAAAAAGCCAGAACCGTAAGGAACACTGTAAACAGTATGCTTCAGGCAGTCAGGAATGACTGCTAACAAATGAGGGAAAACTTTAAAACTGACTAAACAAAAGAAGACTAAAGCTCCATAGATTGACAAACCTGAATATCAAACAAGCAGCAGACTTGGAACAGAATCTTATTAATGTCAGAATCACTGCATTTATGTCTGGTTTAATTTTTTTTTCTCTTACATTTCAAACAAGCACTGAAAGCCTTTTTCCCCCCCTAAAAATATGTCTCTTTTTTAGTGTATTTGAACTAGGATCTATAAAATGAAAATAGTCAGATGAGATAATATTTGAATTCTGTCATATTCAGTAGCCCTGATGTTCATGATACAGAGCAGACATCTTTTAAATGTAGAATTCTGAAACTATATAAAATACTGTGATTATATATGCAGCATATTGATTACAATAATCTGAGGGTTTCAGCCCAGCTCTAAAACCATGCTAACATTGGCCTAACAAAAACTGTGGGTCATAAATAAAGGATTCCTTAAAATAAGGCAAGTGCAGCAGTAGCACCCTGTCCCTTTCACTGGTGTCAGTGACCAAAGGGACTGATTCACAGATCAGAGGCTTTTGAGTGACCAACAAGATTTCCAGAAAATAACAAAAACACCTCTGAAGTGCACCTGCATGATCATCAGGAGGAAATCTTGTAATGCCTACTTGAGAGTCAATTTTGCAGAGATCAGAATAGGTGTTTTCCTATTCATTATTTATTGACAGTGCTTTTTCAGGATAAATACTGACTTTGCAGGTGAGTCTTCTACCATTTGTGTTGGCTCATGTGTCTGTAGGTGAGCTCTGGCAGGTTGAAAGCTGCTTCACTGCAGCAGTTCTCAGACTGGGACTCCTCAGTGGCTGTAGCTTCTTTAGCAGACTGCTAGTTTATACCATGCCTGAGGATTAAGGGAATATGCCTCTGAGAGGCAGAGAAAGCATCTTGGGGAAGGGATCTCTGGAATCTTCCCTAAAATGAACTGGCCTGCAGGCTCTCAAGATTGCCACTTAGTGGGTTAAACTTTTTTCCAAGAAAAATGTTGGAGTTATACCAAAGCAAAGAATGCGAAGTCCTTGATTTCAGCATTTTTTATCTAGGCCAGCATCTCCTAACCTGTGGCTATAACATCCTGACATCTCATGAGGTCTTCAGCTAGCCCAGAGACTGCCCCAGAAGTTCTGCTCAGTGGCAGCTGCATCAGTGCACGGGCTCTCCCCTCCATCTGGTCTGGCCAGAGAGGTCACAGCATGACAGGGTGACCCATCTCTTGTGTGACCTCCCTGGAGAAAAACAGCAATGTGCAGGAATCCCTTGGGAAAGCTCGATGCACCATGATACCCAGAAGAGCCAGGTCTGAGTGGCCCAAAGTAGCCATGTTTTAGTTACAGATTTACTGAATTACTTTGCAGAGCACATTTTCTGAACAGAAGCCAGGGGACAAAACTTCGCTGAACTGTAGCATCCCTGATTTAAGCTCCCAAGTTACTCAGTGAATGGATTAGTAAGGCAAAACCCTTGCAGTACATCCCATGAACTCTCACCACACTGCTGTTTGCTTCCTGACCATCTGGATCCACTGCAGACATCGTCCTGCATCCTGTTCCAGAGCCCAGGCTCAGCCTGGGGTGGGATTCCCCATCTACCCCCCTGGGTCCTTCAAGTGCTGCATGGCTGGACTCTGTGATATAGATCCCCAAAAACATTTCTGTAGAAATAACCTAAACCCTCGTCCTATTAGCCTTGGAATCACTTGGTTACACTTGTGAAGCTTTTCCAGCATAACAGATGGAATAATGGCTCAAAATCCTTATTTCTGATTTCATCAACATGCAATACAAATCAGAGTCAATAAAAGCTTAGTGCATTTGCCCAGACCCTTTAAATCTTCATCTATGTCTGTGCATTTTCTGATGCAGCCCCCTTATGACTGGGACCTATTGGATATTATTAGCATACTTGCCTTAGCACGCTGAAATTTGTTATTTTGGCAGATCTTTCTTGGTCTGATTCCAGCCTGTGTGCCAAATGTCAATAAACCACATGGGTTTCATCTTTTTGCATCTGGTTCAGTCCATCTGTGTCTGTTGTGATGTGCCCCCTACACTACCTTGTTTTCCCTGTGTATGGGATAATATCTTGTAGCACTCAAGTAATCTGATCCAGACCTTTTACAGCAAGCGTGGACTGTCAGTGCCTTCCAAAGGACAGGTCCCAGGAGCAGGTGAGCTGGGAGGAGGATCCACATTTACACTGCCTTCCCAATGTGTTTGCTTCAGCCACGCAGGCAGCTGTGGCTCACATGAAACACTTGAAGGCTTTAGGTTCTAAAAAGACAGATGGATTCAAAAATCCATAAAGGGCTGTCACAACACCCACAAGAGAAACTGAGCTCCCATTGAGAATTGTGAGGGCCTGAATGGGTCTGTGTTTTGGCCCTTGGCTTTCCCAAGGCAGAAGTGACTTTGAGGACTTTGAGTCAGTTCCTAGTCCCTGTTTTACTTTCCTGGTGAATAAATACTTTCTGCCACAGGGAGTTTTTTCATTTATTAATATCACTTGTTATCTCTTCTTCCTTTGCTCATTGTTGCCCTACAGGGGCAGAGATCTGTTCTTATAGATCTGTGCTTATAAACAACCTCACTGCCCTGGTAGTGTGCATGCTGCCAGCCTGGAGGCAGGTTTGGCACTGTCTGATTGGGCCAAGACAACTCTGAGGGCTCGATAATCAAAATCACATCCTTCTAAGGTGAACCCCAGGATGAGCTTTAGCCAAGAGTGGTTTTCTCCTCTGATTGCCAATGTGGCTCCTCTAAGTGCCATAAGCCCTAGGGCTGCCATTCAGCCATATGAGCTCTATCTGATGTGGCTCCTGCTATGAAAAGACTGATTTTTAAACTGCTTAGAAAAGCTCACAATCCCAACAGGATGCCCAAAATAGGAGACAGTGGAAGTGGTTTTGTTGTCCTCCAGCATTTGCTGGCATCTCTGTGACACATTCTCCTTCTCTACATCACTGTAACTTCCTTCACTGGCTGTAGTCTCACCATTTGCCATTATTTTGTGCACGCAGGCTCCAAATACATCTGTGCCCTTGTCCATTTTAGCTCACTGAAATCACCTTTCAACTCGGAGACTGTGTGTGATTTTCCTTTGTCAGATATGCTGTTCTCTACTGAGGGCATCAGCGATCCAAAGAATATCCTGGAGATTATATTAGCTTTTCTGTAGCAGACTGGCTGGGGGATATCCCTTGGGCATATTTTACACAGAAAAACATCTATTCCATAGACAGGTGAATTTTACTGAAATAAATGTGAGAATGCAATCGTAACCTGGAGGAAGGCTCTTGTAAACCACTGTGTGAAGCTATTTCTAAATTTGCAAGTGCAACGTGGAGAAATTCATTTTATTGTTTATATTTTCATTTTATTTACTTGTCTGCCATTTGGGAGACAAAGAAGAACAGACGACTGTGCCCGTTTTTGAAGAAGCCTTTCTTTTGAAAGATGTCAGAGAAGACAGACAAAAGCAAGCAGGTCTTGCAAAACAGCTTCTTAAATAACATTGCCAAGGCAAATACAGCTGAAGGTTGATTTCCCTGATGGATGCATAGCTTCAAAGAAGTTTATTTCATTACTCATCCTTCCCCTGTCACTTTGCCAGTGGCAAGGATTGAAGAATCTCTAATAGAGCTTTCTGCTCAGCACTTAAACCAGATAGCGTTTATCTGGGCACTCCAAGGGCAGTGAGGTGTGCCCAGGGCAGTGGTGCTGAGGACGCATGACACAGCCTTTTAAATAAAAGCTATTCTTGACACTTGTGGGGGAAAAAAACCATACTGTCTGGGCAAATGCATCTTCAGTTTAAGAGCACTGGGAGCACTTGTTCAGCGTTGGGTCTGAGCTTCATCTGAGCGCTGAAGAAGCACAAGGATGGCCACTGGCAGTGAAGCCAGCTGCTCTGGCAAAACAGTTACACAAAATCAGAGAAATACCCTGGATAATCAGAACTTTTTTTAGTAAAAGTAACTGTATGAAGTCTGTAAGTACCAAACAGGTTCAAAAGTCCTTGTGTTTTGCCAGAAACAATCTCAGTGATTTGTCACTCAATGTCAATAACATTCAGAATGTTATTAAGAAAAAACAGCAATGAACCAAAAGGCAGTGTCTGCTCTTGGATGACAAAAATTTAAAGAAAATAGCTAAAGTACCCAGTCTGTTGGTGGATCAGTGATTTTCTGGATTGAGATAAAGCCAATGATCCTGAAGGACTCAAACAGACTTGTTTAGTATTTTGTGTCATACCCCAGGCTGTTCTACGGGTAAACTCATATGTTTATCTCAGGAAAGTTGCCAAAAGTCACTAGTTTCTTGAGTATGTGTATAACTTGCATGCAAATCAGCCTTCCCAGAAAAGGATAAAGCTGCAGAGGTAGTTTGATTAAGCAATTGATTATATCTGTAAGAGCCAAAGGAAGCATATCTGTGAGAACACTCAACTCAACACACTCAATATTTGATATTCCTTCTCTGTAACCAGAGCCAAATAGCAAATGTATTTAGATTCTCAGCTAGGTAATCATTGCAGTTTTGTGCCATCTTGGTTTCTGGCTCTTGAAGATCTTGACATTTTGTTTTGATTGTAAAGATCATCTCCAGCTACAATCTGTCTTTCCATATTAAACATTTCAAAATGGTTTTGTTGAAGCAGACATTTAATCTGTACAATTTTGAAACCTCTTCAAGATATCTGAAGCCATATTTTCCAGTCAAATTATAAAATAATAGGAAGTAAAAGAAGAAGGAAACTTCTCAGCTCTACTCTTCAAATCTGCCTGCTGTCGTACAGCATGTAGAAACAGGAATCAGATACTGCCTTTATAATAGATCCTTCACCACTATAAAATTAAGTCACAATACACTGTAGATTAGTCTGATGCTTAGAACATTTTAGTCTTATCCTCTACAGTTTTTTTTTAGTGCCCTATGAGGAATTCGATATGTTACTGAGGGAAAGAAAGAAATATGTTAACTTACATTTAGTGCTACCCAAAAAAGAGTTATGAAATGTTAGGCTATAAAAATATGCTTTATGCTTCATCCAAAGGCTCAATCGATTTAGATAAATTATTATTTAAGTACAATTTAATCTTTCAGATTTCTTCTAAATAACAGGAAAGAGTGAATTTTTATTTGACTTTTATTTGCCAATTATCACCCTTGCATTTAAAATGTAAAGTTTCTACATTTAAGGTAAAGACCTAGAGGCTTTTAATACTTTCCTCTTCTACTGCATGAAGTAAACAAGAAAAAGCATGAATGAAATTAAGTCAATTTCCATTTCTTCCTTGTTTCAGATGATGGAAAACTGTCCTTTGATGAATTCAAAGCTTACTTTGCTGATGGAGTTCTGAGTGGAGAAGAACTGCATGAGCTTTTTCGCACCATTGATACACACAATACTGAGTAAGTGCCCCCTTCTTACAATCCCAGTGCCACTTTCTCTACCTGCAAATGGAAAACCGACCTCAGGCTTATTTTAGGAAAAAAGTTTATGTAGAAAGCTGCTTGAAGGAAGGCAGGCTGTGTTATATGGCTATAAACTCCATAAGTGAAGAGTTTTGAAAACTTGATGAAATATTTGCATATTTCAATAGCTGTGATTTGGGTACTGAGAACACAGGGTGGAAATTGGATGCTTTCTGCATTCCCCCACCATGGAAAGAAAAGGAGCTGGGGCGTCCTTCAGGCTTAAATGTGAATTCCTAAATTCTCAATTCCACTGAGTCATACTGAGATGAATACTTGGAGAAGATGTTGAGAAGGAAATAAAATAAATGAAGAAATTATGTATAGTAAAGAATTGAAAAAGCCATCTTGTCTGGTAGCATGGTACTTGTGCTGGTGTGGTCCCTTGGGATATTCCCATTATGGCTGGGTTTAACAAGGCCACAGGGAAATAAGCTGACCGGAACTTAATGAAGTTCAGCAAGGAGAAGTGTAAAGTCCTGCTTCTGGGGAGAAACTAGCCCCAGGTTTTGTGGGAAATGGAATCAAATTAAACGCAGTAGAATTCACAGGATTTTAGAGTTTGTGCCAAAATAATGTCCTGAAGTAAGCAGAAGAAATGGTACTCGATCTGTTGCACTTTTGGGGAATAAAAATACTACAGGACTTACAAGGTGGTTAAGGGATGGGGTGATGGAGACAGGGAGGGGGAATCACCACCCTGGAGGGATTTGGGGGATTTTTGCTGGGTTAACAGTTGGACTCAATGGTTTTAGAGGTCTGTTCTAACGCAAACAATTCTATGATTCTATGGTTCTATGCACCAATATATGCTGGGGCCCACTCAGCTGCAAAACAGCTTGGCAGAAAAGGATATTGTGCGGACACCAAGGTGAACATGAGCTAACAATGTGCCCTTACGGCCAAGAAGGTCAATGAATGGTATGAGTGACCCAGAGTCAAAAACTCATTTCAGAGCCAGACTCATTCACACAGCTTTGGACTTCCTCATATGTACCACATATCTGTGTAAGTGGTTTTATTTTGCCATAATTCCATTTGTCTGCAAGCATCCTGATAAGGGCAGAAATTCTTGATACTAAGCAAGATTTCTAAGAAAAAATACAGATGTTCTACATCTATTGTTCCTTCCTTTTTATTTTTAAAGCTTTTTAAATTCATTTATTATTATTATTAGTAGTAGTAGTAGTAGTAGTAGTAGTAGTAGTAGTACACCATTTTCTCTTTAACAGAGAATTTATAAATCTGAAAAATATGTAGAAAAGTAAGGATAACATTATGTTTTTCCTCCTGGTAGATAGGCACACCTGAAGAATTGGTGTAATTGTTGAATGCTGCTACTATTAACTGAAAAATAGGTAATTAAACTGTCATAGCAGCCATCAGAGAGAGAGATCATTCCCGTTGTCCAGAAAAAGCCTGGCAAAACTCTGGGCACAAAAGTCTCAGCGTACATGCTGTAAAGAGTTCAGTTTTCATGTATTTCAGGGAATGGAGCAGGTGGAAGATTAAGACAAGCTACTAAATTACCTTTCTGAACCAGAAAAAGGGTGCTCTGTATTGATGGATTAACATTTGTTACAGGAAGAGGAGGAGAACCTAGACATGGGTAAGAAAACCTACTTGAAACTAGGATTTAAAACAGCAGCAAGAAGATTTTTGAGTGGTTTTGTTTGTTTGTTTTTGTGGGGTTTTTTTTGTTTGTTTGTTTGTTTTTATTTGTTTTGTTTTGGGTTTTTTTTGTTTTTTGTTTTTTGGTTTTTTTTCATGGAGTCTTTAACTGATAAAAGAATTTAGGGTGACTTTGCAGCTGAAAAGTATTATACCAGGTGTGGTATATAACAGAGGCATATACATTTTAAAAGATTTCCCCTACCCCTTTGTAAGCTTTTGAGAAACCTGTTAGCAAGATGTCACAGGCCAAATATCAGATGGATATAGCAAAGAGAGACAGCATGGCCTGTATAATATAATTCCCTTGTTAACATAGCTTTCAGAAAAAAAATCACATGCAGCAGTTATAATGAACCAAAAACTTTACTCACTGGCATTTCCTGAAAAGGGCAAGTTATGGTAAAATGTCTCAAATTAATGAGATAGCTAAGAAAAGTAGAAAAATGTTCATTGAACCTTGGAAAGTGTTTTAATGTAAGCATTAGGAGAATCATGTACATAGCAAACAATCCCCAAACCATCTATTTTAAGATATTTTCACTTCCAAATTATCCAAGGGAATGAAATGAAAATTATGCAACTCAGAAGTATTTTATGGCTGGTTTTCAGGAGGGGAGGGCAAAGAATTCTGCTCAGTTTTGTAACTACTGGGAGAAGATTTGCACAGATTATTTTGTCTCTCTTATCCAGTTAAAATGCAGACACTGTCAAACTCTGGGCAAATCTTTTATCTTCTCTCTGCTTCACTTCGCTATTTACAAATTGCAGGCTGTACTCCCTATCCCAGGAATATTTCATAAGTGTTGTGATTATGCAGTGATTTACACTACATGTAAATGCCTGGGGCAGATGTCTAGGGAAGCATGTCATGATCCCTTGGTTCATTTCTTGGAGTATCTCAAGATTTCATAACCATCTTGTCACAAGAGCAGACTTTGGGTTGTTTCCACCTGCATTAAATCCTCTAGCTCTGCCAGCATTCAAAACATCACTGTCTGTGTGCACAAGTCTTTGTACTTTAAAGCCTGAAGATGAAAAAGGAGATGTGGCCTTGGGGTGATAGCCATGGACCACAAACTCAGGCAATTTGAATTCCCTTCTCAGCTATGCTGCAGCAATTTTCCAATAAAAGATTCAAAGCATGAAAGACTTACACTGGCTTAACACTTCTAAGGGAACTAAATTAAGCAGGTATTAAACCCCACTATTACACAGGCCCTAATGTCGGTCTGGTTGAAGTGAGATTTAGATTATTAACTTTTTAAAAGACCAATCCAAGCTAGTGCAACATGCCTGTAACAAAGCAGATAGGCCGTGGAAGACTGCTGAAATGAGTAATTACCATTTCCAATGTGATAGCAGGGAAAATAACAGAGGGTTTAACTTCCCAGTAATTCAGGTTGTGTCTGCCTGACTGACTAGGATCTCTGCACCATGGTATTTGAAGCAGTCAGGTGTTCTCTTTTTACAGAGTAAAAGAAGAGTCAATTAGTGCCTAATCAGCAGGAAAAACACAGATGAGTAAGAATTAGTTACTGCCGCATCAAGTTTCCAAGATATAGGTTGAATAGGAGTTTATAATGACAGGATGAATTTAAATGTACATTTTTTCTAGACCCTAAAGTACAGGTTATTCATTCAGGGTAGATCATTGCTTTTAGTGAAAATTTGCATTAGCTGAGGGTATTTCCTCAGTACATAATTTGGACATATATTTTGCAGTTTATGAAAGTACTTCCATGTATATTAATTTTCTTTCTATTTAAAAATATCTACCTTACCTTTTTATAACATTTGAAATATTAAATAAATACCATAAAGACACAGTATACGAAATTGATTATCTAAATTTTTTAGCTTCTTTTTTCCTTTGGACACAGCCAGAAACAAATGCATAAGAAAACCAAATTAGGTGAAGTAGTGTAGCCATGCAAAAAGGAATTTATTTTCCATCTTTTAGTACTGCTATGATATTTTACCTTTCTTGAAGGTAAGCTTTGATTAGGCCATGCAATGGGCATTGCTGACATGTAATTACAAGGTGACTGTTTTAGGGGGCAGCAGTTAACCATTCTTCTGTAAGTGCTGTTTCCAGTATTGTCATTACTTCAGAGTGAAGCTGAAAGACAATTAGGCATTTGACTGCCCCTGAGAGTCACTTCTATTTGTGCTTTCCAGGATCTCATGAAACCTTTGGGCAATCAGATACCATTAAATGGTATAAACAAGCCGAGGGAGGGTCCACATTCAGATGCCCTCCCACTGCCAGTGGAAGGAAAGGCTTTGCATTGATGCAGAAGTGATCAGGTCTAGGGTGTTACAGACACATCTCCAGTTTATTGTTTCCTAGCATGCATTTTCTTCTACTGCAAAGTAGTGTCTTGTATTTAAAGACCCTTAAGAAAAACCCCAACCAAACAAATATAGACATGAAATCAAGAGCAGTGCCTTAAGCTTCAGCCTGGAGTTTGTACAGTGGTTCTCCTCCCCTTTTTCATAATTGTTTAAGTGTTTTGCAGGTAGCCCCAGTATAAATACACTCTAAGCATCTGGCCAGCATCTTAGGCTCTTTTTAAGTAATCAGGAGGCCAAGGTAGATCCCCACAGTTTCTTCAGTAGGAGCCCAGCCCCCAGAGTAAGAGTCGGACCAACACGAGTGCCTGTCTGTGAGCAGGGAAGGGGCAAGAGGAAGAGTTTATCTTTCTGTCCTGATTTGACATATATTTGACATTACATCCATGTTATACATCTGTAATGTCAGTTTGGACCTTGGTCAGTGCTTGTCCTAACACTTCAGAAAATCTCAATGTACTCTATTTGAAATCTGAGTTAACCTTTTTGGAGGTTTGTGAGGATGAAGGAAATCCAGTGTGGTTCCTCACCCCTCTCTCCTCCCCCAGTCTGAGCTCTGAGCTCCACAGTGCTCACTGAGGCTCTGCAGGGCTGATGTGGGCAACGGGAAGGCTGTTGGAGCACATGTGAGTGCTGCAAAGACACCAGAAGACTTCCTTTGTGCTGACAAGGTGGGTCATGGAGAACGTGGTCTGCAGGTTGTAGTAATTTTGGAGCCAAAGTAATTTCGGAGCTGAAGACACACATACTCTGCTGTCTCAAAGCCTTCTGGTTATTAACTGAATGCAAAATATCCTTTATGTAAAACAGTGTTGAAGCACAGTTGAGGAAGCTCTGCAGAAATACAGCTCTTTTGTTTATATGTGTTAGTGCATGAATAATTGTACTGAAAGTAGAGATAGATATCAAAA